TTCTGGCTCCGCATATCAAAAGCTCTCTTGTTAAATCCTCTGCTGCAAATTCTTGTTAAAGTTCTCTGCAATCTCTGTATTCCTAACACCAAAGTTAACAGACTTCATTTTTTATATATATTTTTTTTCAAAAATTGTAATTTAGACCAAATTATAATAAAAAATAAAAAAAAATGTGGTTTGGTAAAATTTAAAACTTTGATTCACAGTAATTTATTGATTGACTTGTTCTCCGCAGGACGCATGATGTCACAAGATGTAGCAGCTTTCGCAAGGGAGAGTTCCAATTCAGCTGTGCACATGCTAGATCCATCATATTTCCCAAATCATGTCATTAACAGTGGGGAGCTGTGGTTTGTTGACTTCTTTTCTCCAGTAAGTATAATCCAGCAGATTAATCACCAGATTAAGGCAGCCAGGCTCCCATGAGTAAGGCAGGTCAGCAGAGAGTGTACACATTCAATCAATTGATAATCAGCAGGGATTCTGATAAATTCAGTCCTGCTCGGACTTACCATCATTTTGTTGATGCTATCTCTGATGAAACCACCAGTTCTCTCTTTTCATCACAAATTCACAGAATAGTCATGTTTATAGTCTGCACCTCCCTTCAGAAGAAGCGTAGCCAAATTTTTTGAGCAATAACTGAAAATTGACTTAAATGTTGTTTGTTGGCTCCAAAATTAGGGTTCATTTCCAGAAATATTAAAGAATATCAGAAAAAAGTGCAGAAAAATTTGAATGAGAAAGTCTGGAGGTGTAAGGGTTAAACAATGAGATTCAGTATTATACTATAATCACTGCATTAGTATTTACTCTCTGAATGTCAAAGTCAGCACACTGATCACCCTCACATTTGATGTGTAAAATTATTATATACTGTGAAATATTTTCGCTTGGAGTTAATTTTCGCTATTTTCGCTTGATGGAATAATTCAGTGAAAATAGAATCCAGCAAATATACATTTTTACCTATATTTTACATTCAACTCGTCAAAAATCAGTGAAAATAAATTCCATACAAAACACTCAAAAAGTCTATTCAGCGAAAATTAATTCCAGCTAAAATAAAGTATTTTATAGTAGTCAAGATTTTTTCATTCCAACAGCCACTACAGACATGTTTCATCATATTTATTATTTTCAGCACTGTCCACCATGCAAGCAGCTTATACCTGAATGGCGTAAAGCGGCTAAAGAGCTGTTAGGTAAAGTTAAACTTGGTACGGTTGATTGTACAGCACACAGTGCGCTGTGCAATGAGTACAATGTACGATCGTACCCAACCATAATGCTATACAACCAGTCCACACCACATCTATACTCCGGAAGCAATACAGCTAAAGACTTAGTTGACTTTGTTCAGGTAAGGCAGTACTCTAGGGTTCGTAATTATTAACAGTTGTCTGGTTATTGCCTTATTGGGACAACCATGAAAATTACAAATACAAAAATGTTATTTCTTATATTTTCGCTACAGAAAAAAATACTTCTGGATATCCTTCCGAAAATGACGTCGCCATAATGAAACTACAGTGATTTCATTCAAATCTCAATTTTTGTGATATTTAAGTGTGTTCATGATTGAACTGTGAGGGCGCTATTTGCCATATTGTTTATGGTCATGCCTTGTTAGCGTGCTGTAAAACTTTTATCATACCTTAACAAATTTAGAACATTGATTTTCCCTATCAAGTGTTCTACTAAACTCCAAAAGCGTATGATCTAAGTAACATTAGTTACAATATATTGGGATATTTGATTTTTTTCAGGATATTTTGACACCATTAGTAGTTGCTTTGACTCCAGATGGATTTGATTCTTTAGTGAAAAGTAAAACAAAAAAGGACCAAATGTGGTTGGTTGATTTCTACGCACCCTGGTGCGGACCATGCCAGGCGCTGGCACCAGAATGGAGAAAGTTAGCCAAGGTAAGTTACATGTGTATCTGAAGTAACTTCCCTCTGCACAGTTTTGCCAATAAAAGCGTGTCTAAGCCAAAAACTGTATTAATGGGGAACAGCTCAATCCCATGGATTGCCCCACATGCTCATGGGTAATTAACTCCGCCTCTGTCCACTAAGTAAATGATTGTTTATTATGCTTGATTACTCAAACTGTGATTGACAGGCATTTTGCATATATTAGCCGCCATTATAAACTCATGATTTTTACTTGTCGCGGCATGTTTAGACCAGAAACAAGAACTTTTATATAAAGCCCAACCTGATGAGTGTAATCGCTAGCATACATATTCATGCCCCCATAAAAATGTATTTGGAATCACAGCTTGATCTCCAAACATCGTAAATGGCACATTTCCTGGAGGTCCCGCCGCGATGTGAGCGGCCTTGTTTGGATTAGCATACTAATTGCAGTGGCCATCTTGCCCCTATTTATAGTATCGGTTTCCCTTTAACTACACTTAACTACACACCATAAAATAAATTATTCCTATAATGATGCCTCAGAATTGCATCATATGTTATAAAATTTACCCCGACAAAAATAATTTTTTTTGTTTCTGTGATGTGAAAGTACAGAAAAATCAATTATGAAAATATTAGATTATTTTTTTACATGTTCTTCTGTGTGAAAATATTGGTGATACTGGTATAGTAGCTTTAGTATTTGCCTTTTAGAGAAATTTTAAAATTGCTATGAAATGTGATGGCATTGTTTTTTAATGAGGGTATACCTTGCAACAAAGACAAAATAAATAATTCTGAACTTTGTTTTTTCAGATGTTAAATGGAACTGCTCAACTTGGCAGTGTAGACTGCGTTAAATGGAATGATTTATGTTCCAGAAATGGTATTGGAAGTTATCCTACTATTAAAATGTACCCGCATGGTAAAAGTGGCCTTGCTGGGTCAACGTAAGTTACTGAAAGTGGCGTACAGTGACCCTGATTACACATGATTCGATTAGAGCTGTATTTAACCAAATATGGTATTAAAGCTCAACTGTCATTTTGAACAGGGGTGTCTTCAATTTTTTTTGGTAATAAAATGCACATAATAGACATTACAGGGAAGTTACATGTATATATCAAATGTGGAGCTTTCAAGTTATTTTGTTTCTCTTGGGTGTCTTAAAGGCCCAATTCACTTGCCCCGGTCAAGTGTGAATTGGAGGTGTGGCTATGCTAATGCATGGTGTTAATCACTTGCACAGCCTATGACGCATCCTGTTTCAGCGGTCCAACATCACGTGACTTTGATTGACAGTAGTAATTATTCAAGATTAGTCGCGCGTCCCTTTCCCCGGTTCATGTCTTTTACTTTTATCCACCAAAATCTCAGCTCGTACACTATTTATTGTCATAAATACTACACACAATCACTGCTTTGATATTCATAGTCACATGCATCCACTTTGGCACAACAAAATAGACATGTAAGTTCGAGAAAACACGTTTTTACCGGAGCTTGGCTGGAGCTGTTTACTACAGCGTGACAAGCAAGGAAATAATCCCTATTGTTTAGGAGCGTATTTATAGTATACCTGGGCCTTTATATTATAATTCATTCGCAAATGTGATTGCCTATGAACACTGTCATGTACTGTAGAATACTTTATTTTCACTTTGAATTGATTTTCACGAAAGGAATGATTCAGTGAAAATAAAATCCAGCGAATATACATTTTTCCCTATATTTTACATTACCCAGTAAACTCATCAAAAATCAGTGAAAATAAATACCATACAAAACAACCAAAAAGTCTTTTCAGCGAAAATAAATTCCAGCTAAAATTAAGTATTTTACAGTAATATATTTCTCTTTACTTTCTCGTTTGTATCTAGACAATACACCGGGTGGATGCGAGACGCTATTTCCATACAAGGATGGGTCTATTCGTATTTGCCGTCTGTAGCGACAACGTTAGACCAAAATAACTTTGTGAGAAATGTGATTCAAGACAATGAGCCGTGGTTGGTGTATTTTTATGCTGGTCCTTGGTGCGGGCCGTGTACAATGTTTATGCCGCAATTTGAAAACGCAGTTAGGGTAAGTCGGTATTTGACGTTCAGGTCTGAATGTTGTCGCTCTTCAAGAGCGCAAGAAATTGTGTGACGTATGCAAAGTGATTGTCCATTGTAACTGACGAGCACATTTCTCAACATTTGTGCATAATGTAATTTAATAATAAGATAGCAGCAAGGGAAAAAACAAGTTTAAAATTGATCTGTGATCCAGACATTTCCCGTCGTCTGAAATCTTAGATATAGGCGAATACCCGTTGTGTATATGCCATACCAATATTTGTCTAAAAATATTACATGGTGGTGAATTGTGTGACTAGACTTTTTTGACTATTTAAAAATCTGTTTTGTAACACTGACAGTCACAAGAATTATACACAAGTTTATCACGTTGTGAGTTAAGTAATTGTGTCTCAGTTTTTTTGTATCTGACTATACAGACTGACAAGGTCGGTAAAGAAAAACTGAAATACAAGCATTCAGTGATCTCATCATCCTTTGCAATTCACATTAGTGTGACTAAAAGTGTTGAAAAAAACATGATTTTTTAATAGTCAGAGTGATCAAAAATGCGCAATTGGCCAACATGTAATATCTCGATCTAACATTCATTTCGATTTTTTTATTTGGTATACTACCGTACTTCCCCAAGTGTAAGCCCCTCACTGAGTATAAGCCCACTCTTCTGTTTTTAGACAATTAATGAGTTGAGGACATCTTCGAATATAGGCCCAGGGTGTTTTTACCATGCATCGACGACATTTATTAAAATATGCATGTAAAAAGTGTATTTCCATTGCATATTAATTGTGATTGGTTTGGTTTCTGCTTTTACGAGAAAACTCGCATTAATTTCAGAGTGCATGGTGGGCAAACATACAGAACATAGTTTTCTATTCGCTGTGAACGAAAAATATAATTTGGATATATACAATTTTAAACCCACCAAAAAATATCTTTTCTATGGTAGTCCTCGAGTATAAGCCCACCCCCTAATTTTCCTGATTTTACATGTTCAGGCTCCTGGGCTTATACTCGGGGAAGTACGGCGTGGTTATTTATGTAGTACATGAAGATGAATGTACTGACACTTCTCAATGTAATCTTAGGATTTCAGTGAGATAGTTGTTATGGAAATCTTACTTTATATATTATATTCTAATTACCTTTCAGAGTCTTGAAGACAGAGTGCATGCTGGGAAAATGAACTGTGATCATAACCAGGGTGCTTGCATGCAATCAGGTGTGAATTCCTATCCATCAATAAGGTTATACATGGGAGCAAGAAAAAAAGGTGGATCACAGGTACGTGGTAGCAGAATTGATCACATGATTTGTTGATTAGATTGTGATTTAAAAAAAAATTTACTATTTAGAATAACATCTGCCAGTTGAGTTAGTAAAATTATAATATTAATGCTAATAAACAAACTACGTTAATATGAAAGTATTCATTTTCACTATTCCACATATTTTGAGCTTATTCTCTAAGTATTTGCATGGATTTAATTTAGCAGATTTCACTTGCTAGCAAAAATAACAGAGTGAAAAATTAATGTCTTTACAGTACCCTGACAATGTTTATTGAAAAGTTAATAATTTTTATGTTGCTTTCAGAACTATGCAGGGGAATTCATTACTCATATGCAAGGGGTTGATTTTATAATAAATTACGTTAAAGGAAGAATCCCAGAAAATAAATTAAAGGTAAGGGTCAGCAAAGATTTAAAGGCTAAGGGTATGCACTTTCATAAACAAGCATGCAATAAAAATTATACGATAAGCCAACTCTCACACTTAACGAGGGTTTGAAGGCAATCTCAACATGCAAGATTTTTTTATTAATTCTAGCTTTTGATCGAAAATTTGAAATTTTCAAAACATTTCAGAGAACAGACTGTAAATAGAACTATTTTGTGCATTGTGCCTGAAGGTAATTTTGGTGATCAAAATGTTAATTTATTTTTTTTTTCACAGAAAAAGATTCCTCGAGATGAACTATAGAAGCTGAATAACAAAATGCACTGATTTTATGAAAACAAAAGCCTTATGTGAACTGAGAATTTTTCAGAAAAACAAAACAATTGCAGGATGCACTCCAGATTATTTTGACAATTTTTTGATAACTTATTGGTGTGCAATGTTTTTAATGGCCTTCTTTCTGTCTTTATTACTGGAACTGAATTCCTAAGGGTTAGTTCAGTGGGTTACTTTTGTTTCATTGTTTGGTAATTCCACATATTAAAACTAAAAAAAGTACATATTAGTCCACCACCCAATCAATGTTACTTTTTCTTACTGTATACTGGTACATAAATAAAAGAAAAATAGAAACTTACATGGGGCTGCAGCGCTTTTAAATGTTTTTTAAATAATTGCAAAATTGAATACAATGATTTTGATTTGTTTTTCGTGACAGCAACCAGTTTAATTAAATAAATGATTATACATATCCTTTCGATACCAAGCTTGGCTTTTACTAAACTTAAAAAAAAGTACTGCTAATAGTTCTCAATATGTTATGTTACACAAAAATTATCTCTTTTCGTGCTAGTGGCCATCTGGCAGCCATTTTGCACTACATAGTATATGGTTGCTAGGGGTAAACGCTTTGCAGTCTCATTGAGGGAGTGTGTCAGAAAACACGAGTATGGGTCACTGTGATGTAATATTTTCCGTTGGCGTGTCAATATAGCAGGTTTTTGTGCCCCCCCTGAATTAAACGTCCTAGTCCTTGTTAGTCCCCCACAGATAAAATCTGCAGTAACGACATCTGCCAATTTTCAGATACATTTTTACAGATTGGTTTGAAATTTGGTACAAAGGTGAGACCTTATGGTTTGTACGGTCGCTTACAATATATTTTAGATTTCAATAATATTTAACAAACTAGCAGCAATTTTTTAAAAGAAATTAAATAAAATGTCATAAACAGCTTTTCACACATACCTGGTTGTTTTTATGTCCTTAACCGAATAGTGAACGTACCTAACCCTATTCATTTGAAAGCTAGTATCATTTCTCAATCATACTGTCTTTACTCTGTTGATATAATCATGTTATGTTTGAATATTCCTCTAACTATTAAATATATTTCACAGCTCACATAAGTCACTAAAAATGGCCAGAAACTATGCCAGTGACAATGACCTTCTATTATATCTGAAAAAACTTTGAAGGATTCCTGAAGAAACTTGTCAAATTCTTTCCTATCTTTTTCGATATCTATGAGAATTGCATCAAATAAAGTTTCAAACCAGTGTTCAAAAGTGAAAAAAAATGTTGTCAATTGAAAATCAATTTTGTTAAAGTTCTGGCTGTATTATTTCACAACATATAGCCCAATTTTATATCAAATGTGGTTTCTAATGAATAGCTATTTTTACCTTGCCCGTACCATCAAAGATGGAAGGGAAAGGTATATTAAGGGGAAAATGTTGTCAGGCATTGTCGTTGTCGTCGTCGTTAATAATTGTTATTGTGTGCATAATAACTTTACTAATTCTATTCCAAACTTCATCAAACTTGGTCACCTTATTCATCAGTATAAAGTGTTCCCTGAGTTTGAACAACAGATGTCCTGTATGAAAATATCATGCAAAAATTGAGAAAATCTGATAAAATAATATTTTGACTGTTTCTACTTGACTGATCACTGGTGATACACATCAAAGGTCACTGATCTCAGTGGAAATATGCATTGTTGTATGTGTTCAATGAAGCAAATGATTTATCTTGTAATAATATCCTTGGTAATGTATCTCAGAATCCCATACTGGGTTTCAAAACCAACTCATGGAGAAATTGCACAGTCTGATACACATTTGCAAACCCACCAATAAATTCTTTACAGAAAACAAGATGTCAGAAAATCAATATAAGCACTCCTATGAACTGGTGA